CTTGATCGTCGTCGACTTCGATTTTTCCTGTGGTTTGGCGTTTCGTGGTGCTGGTTCCAATAATGAGATATGAAATATCGGGTGTATCCGCATTGTTGTTGGTAGCGAAAGTTCGTAGTTGACTTTTGAAATGGTTTTCTTGACTTTGAACGGTCCAAGTTTCTTGAAATCCAATTTGTTGCTTGGTCGTTTTGTTTTGATGTTTCGTCGTACGAGGTAGACCATGTCTCCCTCTTGAAAGATTGGTCCCTGCAATCTTTTCCGATTGTAGTGAGTGGACATTCGTTCTCTGACGAATTGAAGTTCTTGTTGCATTTCTTTATGCAATTTTCGTAGCTGATCTGCTTGCAGTATCGCTCGTTCCGCTTGTGGTCCTTGTCGAGTGACCTTGAATGCTTCTGGGTTGTATCCGTAATTGGCGTATGCTGGTGAGAGCTTGGTTGTCTCTGTGACTGAGCTGTTGTAAGCTAGTTGTGCCGTCGGTAGCCATTTAACCCAATCGTTTTGTTCGTAGCTGATGTAGCATCGTAAATATTGTTCAAGCGTTTGGTTGAGTCGTTCTGTTTGTCCATCTGTTTGTGGGTGATAAGCTGTGCTGAGCTTATGTTTCGTTCCTAATTGTGCCATGAGAGCTTGCCAAAACTTGGCCACAAATGTGCTTCCTCTGTCAGAGACAATCTCGTTCGGTAGTCCGTGATTGCTGACAATAGTTCGTAGGAACACATATGCTAGCTCTTCTGCGTTGCTTGCTTCTTTGTACGGTAAGAAGTATCCGTACTTCGTCAATCTGTCGGTAATGACGAATATGCTGTCGTACTTGACGTTGGTCATGGGTTCTTTTGACGGTGGTAGCTTTGTGATATGGTCGAAAGCTATCGAGTCCCATGGTTTCTTTGGTACTGGTAACGGTTGCAATTCTCCGTATGGCTTGTGTCGTTCAGCTTTGCTTCGTGCGCAAAGTTCGCATTTTCTGATAGTTTCGCTGATTCGTTTCTTCATCCGTGGAAAGTCGTAGATTCGTCGAATTCTTTCCATCGTCCTCCGGATTCCTTGGTGTCCGTGTGTCGGGTGTTCGTGAATTTCGCGTATAACTTCGTCCTGAAGTTCTTCTGGTACAAAGATCTTTCCTTGATGCTTTGCCAGGCCATCTTCCCAAACAACTGGAAGTGGTTCCCAATCAACCTTATCGTAGGCTTGTTGGATCTTCTTCGTAAGGCCTTCGTCTGGATTGACCTTGAAGATTGCGTTAAGCTGTCGTTGTTGCATATTCCCTTCATTGTTGAGCTCAAGGAGTTGTCCTTTCACAATAGGTGCTCCTGTGTCGTAGTCGGATCGTCGGCTGAGGGCATCAGCTCGACCGTTTTCTGTTCCTTTTCTGTGGATTATTTCGTAGTCGAATTCTGATAGACATTCGGCCCATCGGATCTGTCGTCCGTTCAATTGTTGCGTCGTCGCGAAATGTGAGATGTTTTGTGATCTGTGTAGACCTTGATTTTGTGTTTGCTTCCGAGAAGGTAGTGTCGAAATTCCTTAAAAGCTTGAATGATTGCGAGGAATTCTTTGTCGTAGATGGGGTAATTGAGTTCTGCGCCATGTAGCTTTTTCGAGTAGAATGCAATTGGTCGTAGTCTTCCTTCATCGTCCTTCTGTCCGATTTGTGCTCCTAGAGCAAAGTCTGATGCATCGGTTTCGAGTTCGATTTGTCGTTCTGGATCGAAGGTGGTTAAGACCGGTTCTTGCGTAATCGTCGTTTTGATGCATTCAAAGCTTCGTTGGCTTTGTCGTCCCATGTAAACTCTTTTTCCTTCTTCGTTAAGTCGTGTAGTGGTGTTGCAATCTTTCCGAAATCTTTGATGAATCGTCGGTAGTAATTCGCAAATCCTAGGAAACTTTGTACGTCCTTAACGTTCTTTAGCGTTAGCTATTCTTTAACTAAGTTAATCTTATCTTATTATATTTATATCTCTCTTAGTAAGATCGTATGTCCGAGAAATCTACTTCCTGTGTGTGGAACTTGCTTTTTTCTGGTTCAACCAGTAACTTCGCATTCTGAAGTGCGCGGAGTACCTTGTGGACGTGTTCCTTGTGTTCTTCTAGGGTGTCCGAGAAGATTAGGATATCATCCAGGTATACTACCACAAAGATGTCCAAGTGTTCGCGTAGGACATTGTTGATCATCCGTTGGAAGGTAGCTGGTGCATTTGTGAGTCAAATGGCATTACCAGATATTCGAATAGTCCGAATTTCGTTCTGAAAGCTGTCATCCATTCGTGTCCCTTCTTCATGCGTATTAAGTTGTAGGCGCCTTTGAGATCGAGGGCTGTAAACCATTTTTTGCCGTGCAGTCGATCTCGTAGTTCCGATATAAGCGGTAATGGTGTTCGGTCCTTCATTGTAATATCGTTTAGGCGTCTGTAGTCGACAACTAGTCGTAGCTTGCCGTTTTCTTTGGAACAAACATGACTGGGTAGCCTGCTTCGGATGTTGATGTTCGTATGTATCCCTTTCGTAGATTCTCGTCGAGGTAGTCGCGTAGCGTTTGCAGTTGCTTTTCGTTTAGGTTGTAAATCTTATGGAACGTCGGCGTTCTTCCATCTTTGAGACAAATTTCGTGGTCCCATTGACTGTGTTCGGGTAACCCTGTCTCGAGTTCTTCCTTGAAGAGTTTGTCGTATTTCCGGTATTCCTGTGGGATGTTCTTCATTCTGTCTTGTGGGCTTTGTTCTTTCTTTTGAGAGCTGGTTTCCCTTGACTCGAGCTCTTTGTTGATTTGTTCGAGGTCTTTCCTTAGAGTGGCAATAACTCTTCGGATCTTCTTGTTGTGTCCTTTGTTCTGTTTATGTCGGATGCCAGGTTGTACAGCCGTGTTGGTCAGTACGTGGGTCTTGTCAGTCGATTTTGTTGTGTCCGCCGGTTCGGTTGCTGTTTTCGTTTGTATCGCTGAAGCCCGTAATGATTTGCTTGAACGGTCATCCCTTTCGTCCTGTTCAGTGGCTAAATCATCGCAAAATTTTGCTTTCTCCCAAATCTGCTGGTCTTGAAACTTGCGTCTTCGTTCCAACGCAGCTGGCCAGTTTTCCAGTTGATCAGTGGGTTGCTCTCCTGTAACCATGGAAGCCCTAACACAAGGTCGTGTTCTCCAATGTCCATGATGTCGAAGTCGACTCGTTCGTCGTGGCCCTGGATATTGATGTCGAGGTGATCAATCTCCATATCAATGATTCCGTTGTTATAGTTGAAGGCCTCTCCTTCGATATTCGTGAGTTCATATGGATCTTTCTTGTGTCTCCATGGGAGTCGGTAACGATTGATGACTCTAGGTGAAACGTAATTGCCCATCGCGCCGCAATCCAATAGTGCGTGTACGTGATGTCCCGCGATTTGGATGTCCAATACCATTTGGTTGCCATGGCTTGCCGTTGCCATGCATAGGGTCCTTGGATCTTGTCGTGTCGTGCCAGTCTGTAGCCCTTTTACAGATGGCGTACCTCGTTTTGCCTGGTCCTTATTCGTTTCATTTGGGTATTCTTCTTCGATTTGTTGTTGATATCGTTTCTTTATGTTTTCGTCGCGTGGTGTCGTGTCGGGGCTCAAGAGACTGATTTCTTGTAGCCAATCGAAGATTTCTTGTTTCTCAACGCTGTGTTGTTTGCATTGTGCTGCTTCGCAGTTGATTGCGTACCGTGCTTCGCAATTCTGTTCGTTTTCGTACCAGGAATCGAGTTTTCGTTCTGCGTCTTTCTGTTTTGCGCGTAGTTCTTCTGCGTTAATTTTCCTTGGTCGAATGTAGCTTGTAGCCTTCGTAGGTGTCGCCAGTAGTCCTTTGGTGCACCGTTGTGTCGTTTGTGCCATGCTCGTGCCTTTTCGTGTTCGTGAACTTTGCAGTTCAGGTGTGCACATTCGTTGTAATCTTCTTCGTCGCATCTGATTCGTTGCGCGAGTCTTGTGAAGATAGATGGTTCGGATGCCTTAGAGCGAGTGGCGTTGTGCCATTCCCCAATTTTGGCGTGTTTGTGGATTTTGCATGTTTCCGAAAGACATCTCGTTAAAGAACCGTAATCATCGCGGCATTCAAGTGGCGTGCCGTAATCGGGTTCCAATAACATGACTTGGTCGTTCGGGTAACGTTGATCGATTTTCCAGTAGTCCAGTTCCGTGCTTAGGTAGGGTTTCGAAAGTATTTGTCCGTCGAATCTGACTGGGAAAGCGTTGTGTCGTGCCTTCTTCTGGAAGTGTATCATGCAGTCCAAATAGACGCATGAGATCCATGAAATATGTTTGTGCTCTTCGTGACTGAGCACTGTTCTTGGGTCATCTGAAAATTCTCCTCGTGGTTGCCATTCTCGTTGTAGAGCTGTAAAGGTGTCGACCGCGGCGATAGCCACAGCGTAGTCTCCTCCGCGTGGTGCCGGTTGGTATCGAATCATCGCAGCTTGTTGGTTTTCCGTGAGAATTTGAGGTATTTGCTGGGTTCAATTTTGAGCATCTCTTCGAATTCTTCGAAGTATGGGGCGTGTTCTCCAATCGTGGCGTTTTCCCTTAGTAGTGAGGGTGGTGGTGCGAGTTCGTTTTCGTCTTCTGTTTCTTCGGGTGTCTCTTGTTCTTCAGAGCTTGTGTCGTCGACACTCCGTTGATCTTCTTCGGGTTGTTGTCCGAGTTTTGTGAGCATAAGGGCTGCGTCCGTGTCCTCTTTGTTATGTTGTTTGTAGACTGCCCGTCTTTGCTGTCGGTCTTTAATTCGCATGTCTTCCTGGAATCGTTTGCCGTTCTTCCTGATCCAGTCTTGTGAGACTCCTTCAGGATAGGGATATTCTGTCTCTGCGAATTTGACTTGTTTCGGTGTCGTGGAATCCCTTCGTTGCATCATTGCAAGGGTTCTCTTTGGTGGTTTTGAAACCATCCGGTACCTTGTTTGTCGCTTAGGTGTACCGTACATTTGTCGTCGTAGCATGCAGTCCAGTTAAGGAGTTCATGCTTTGGTTCCTGTTTGTTAGTAGCGTTTAGGTGTTTCTTACCTTCTGGGGCTGGGGCCCAGTGGGTTTCTTCTCCTTGCGAGGTTGTCTGCATTCTTTGGAGTAATGTCCAAGTTTCCCGCAGTTGAAACACTTTCCTTTGCTTTTTTGGGTTGCGTCCAGGTCCATCCTGCCTGGGTTAGTTGTGTGGGCGTAGGCAATGGGAGTTTCGCGCTTCTTCTTGTAGTTGGCGCGTCGGTTGAAGTTGTTCCCATAGGAAGGGTTCCAGTTTCCTCTTCCTTGCTTCTTTTCTTGGCGTCGCGCATACTGTCTGTCGTCGATTCGTACTGCCATAGCAATGTAGTCCGAGAGGTTGTCAGGTCGATTTTCCTTGTAGAGCTCGTCCTTGACTTCTTCTTTAAGTCCGTCGTAGAATCGTGACATAAGGGGTTCGTCGTCCCAATCAAGCTTTGAGGTGACTTGACGGAACTTCGCAGCATAATCCGATGCTGAGATCCTTTGTCGGAGTTCTCGAAGTTTCTGTTCGGCCTCTCGTTCCTCGTCGGTTGTTCCGAATACCTTCGTAATGGCTTCTTCGAATCCTTGGAAACTGGCAAAGACTTCGTCTGTCTCGTTGTCTCGTCGCGCTGGTTGGTTGTCGAGAAAGTCCCTCATGATGGGTCCAAACCAGGCGAGTGCCGTTCCAGATAAACAATTTCCTGCGTGGAGTACCTTTTCGACTGGGTCCGAGAGCTTGGTCGGATAGAATCGGTGGTAGGCTTTGAGTTGGGTGAGAAAGTCTCGAAGCGTGCCATGAGTACCGTCGAATGGTCCTGGCTGTTTTGGTTTGACTGCTTCTCCGATGTCCCTGACTTGTCCGTTGCCTCCTCCGTTCCTGAGCACTTGGACCTCCTGTCGAAGGCTGATGATTTCGCGCATCATGTCCTGCGGCGACACGGTGTGTCGAGTTGGTTGATCCAGTTTGCTGTGCAGGCATGTTGACAGTTATGCGATATTGCTCAGAGAGACGCGGTATCGTTCTGAACAAGAGCTTTCAACGTGTGACGACCGGTGATATTCCCAAGGGATAAACCTGTCGAGGGTTTATGTTGGCAGATACAACAGGGCGTGGTCTGAGCAATGATAAGTATGTCACGTTGGTGATGAGTCGGAGGTCGTAGACCGTGGACTGTAACCAGGTAATCAAGTGATCGGAATCAGAGATGAGATCGTGATAGGGATCGTAATGATTGTGTTGAAAGCTAAAGAGCTATCTAGTCTAAAGGAGTGAAATGGGGCAGCTATATATACCCAACTGCCCGTCTCTGATCGCGAGGTGCTGGAGGTGATCACAGAGGTGATCACCTTGATCGATGAACGATCCGTCGAGCACCGCTCGCTTGATCGTAAGGCGATCCACCGATCACCTTTCGCATGGTCACGTGATCCTTCAGCGGTTAGTCATCCCTGGCCCGTGTCATGGCCATCCGTTGGTCGGGTCGTAACATCCGTTGGTCGGGTCGTAACACTTTATTCTCCCTTTTAGATATATAGCTAATTAAGCTTACTCCTCGCCTACTACTAATAACTCCTTAGAATATATAAAGGAGTAAAAGACTTATAACTATACCCCTACTAATAACTTAATAAAAAGCTAGTAAGGAAGAAGGGTAGATAGCGTAGCTACTAACTCGCTTTAAGACTTTAAAATTACTAAGCGCTTAGTTAATTACCTTAAGGCTAAAGACTTTAATAATACTTATAACGCGCTTTATTACTTCTTAGAAATAAAGTATAGTAATAGCCTATTTAGCTATAGTCCTTATAAGGTTTATACTAAGCTTTAAACCTACTTAAGTTAAAGGAGTTAAAAACCTAGGAATATATTAAAACTACCGCTAAGATATTAACGACTATAACTTTATATATTTATATAGGACTACTAATAACGTAATAATAATTAGTCTATAAGACTTTATAGCTTATTTAATCTAGCTATACTTAAAGCTATAGACTAGTAAGGACGCTAACTACTTTATTTCCTTAACGCTCTTAAGAATAATAAGCGTAAATACTTAGGAGCGTATATAAGGGGTAATAGATAATTATTTAAAGAAAGAAGTATATAAGTAAAGATAAGAAAGAGCTAAATAAGTAGCTTATAAGTAAAGGAAGAAATAAATAATATAAAGGGAAGGAACTATAGTAAAGGAGAAAAGTTCTATTAATAGTTTATTTATTTACTTACTTATATATTTAAGATAAGAGCCTTTACTTATTATTATCGCGCCCTTTCTATTAGTATCTTAAGTTAGAAAGTCGCTAAGGAGGAGTTTAATAAGTAAGATTATACCCTTATAGATATTAGCCTATTAAAGGGATAAGACTCTTAGCGCTTCCTATCTACCCCCCCTTAAGTATACTTAAAGGCTTTATAAAAGCCTAGATTATTTAATCGGATATCTTCTTTAATTATAGTTAATTTAAATATTTATTTTTCCCTTTAAAGTAAAGGCCGCTAATTATATAACTTTAGTAAAGATAAAGAAGTATAAAGTAAAGAAATCTCTAAGACTTATATTAATAACCTAAGACCCTTAGAGCTATATATAAGACTAATAATTAAATAATTACGCGGTTAATTACTTTATTAATCCTTAGCTATATACTACGCGTGCTTTAGGTATATACCCTTATCCTTATTAAACTATATAATATCTTTAATTACTATACCTTCTATTACGCTTAAGGCGCCCTTTACTTACCTTAAAGCGATCTTTTTTACTAGTACTTATATCTCTTATATAAGCGCTTTATTAACTATAGTATAGTATTAATAGCCCTTATCTATAAGAGCGGCGATAAGTAAGGAGTTATTAATTATAACCTATATTAAAGTAAGCTTCTCTTTTATATAGGGAGATAATTCCTTTTTCTCTTTTATTAATACTAGTAATTAAAGCTTTAAAGCTTATCTTTATTTTAAAGCTACTTTTTTTCTTTTAGGCTTAAGGGCGTAGAGTCCTCTTTATTATCTAAGGTAAGGAGTAGTTCTATCTTCGCTACTTAAACTATTATAGGCCGCTTAGCTAAAAGGAAAGGGTATTTTAATATAAAGTATATAAACGCGCCGTAATATAAGTAGCGGCCGTTAGCTTATCTTTTCTTAATTTCCTTTTTTATTACTTACTTTACTTATTACTTAAAGTATAAGATAGTATAAGGGATATTTAATAATAACTTCTTACTATATTTAGCTTAGTTTATATAAGTAGCTAATATTAAGGTATTTTTATTAATATCGATAGTTAGCTATTTCTCTTATAAAAAAGTAGTAATCCTATTACTACTATATAGTATACGCTTATAAAGCTTTTAAAGATATAGCGTCTACTTATAGCCTTATACTACCTTTATTAACTAGCTTATATACTTACTATAGTTAGTAAGTATAATTATAAGGATAAGTAGCTCTTATAAGGCTAGTATATTATTATTATTATTATTATTATTATTATTATTATTATTAAGATTATACTAAGGACCTAGCTAAAGGTATTTAGAACTTCGATATTAAATAAGAGGGAGAAACTAAAGTACTTAAAGGAAAACCCTCCCTTTTTTTAATATAGGTTTACTTTAAATAAGGTTATAGTAATAGTATATAAGAAATTTACGCTAGCTACTATAGGCTTCTCTTATATATTTATATTTTAGTATAGGCCCTCTTAGGCTATAGCCGCTACTATCTTAAGTAGCCGCGGCCTAGGCTTACTAGCCTAGGCCTAGGGTTATAGGTAGTAGTCTCTCTTTAAGGGCTTAACCTATAAGCGCCTTTATTCTTTATAGCTCCTATATCGCTATTATATAGCCACGGCCGCGTCGGCCTATTAGTCTATTAGTTAGTAGGGTAGGTAATATCTAGTTACTAGGCTAGGTACTAGTATAGGTCGCTCCTAGGTAGGGCCGGCTAATTAAAATTTAGTTAGCTAGCTCCGCTAATCGAAAATCGGTTCTTATCTAGCTATATAACTTTCCGATTAAAAGTATAGTAGCCTATATTTACCGTCTATTATATAGTTATTAATTACGTATACCTAGCTTATATATATATATACCTACCCTCCCCCCTTAGTTTTATTCTTACCTTTTCTTACTTCTCTATCTACTATCTCTTTTATAGGCCTTAATTCCTTACCTATATTATTTTTATATCCTTAAGTCTCTTTAATACTATATTTAGTTCGTTTACTATTATATTATAATATTTAACTAAGAAGCTAACTTAGGTAATAGCGGCTCTCCTCTTTTAAAACCCCCTCCTTATAAAAAAGTCGCTACTATAGTAAGATTAAAGCACTCTATCTTATATTTTATATATATTAAGCTCCTTACTAATAAGCTTACTTATAAGTCCTTTACTAGCTATTAAAACTAGTTTTATAAGTATTAGTTTTAGTTTTATCTTAAGTTAGTCTTACTTTTAATACTTTTCGCTAACCTTACTAGCTATAAAGGCTAAAGTATATATTACTTACGCTAACTTTAACTAGTTTTATTATTAAGTAAGTAACCCTATCTTACTATAGTATAGTCTAAGTTTAGTACTAATCTATATTTTAAATTACCTTTAAGGGTAAGGCGGCCGCTTATACCCTTTACTAAGCTTAGTCTAAGGTCGATAGCCCCTCTCTTATTAAGGGCTTAGTATAGGAGCGGTTTTACTATACTACTTTAGAAACTTATATTCGCACTAGTTAAAAGGCCCCTACCGCTAAGGGTAAGGGCGCGTTAAGTAAGTTTACTCTTAGTTTAGCTATAGTCGCTAAGAATATTAAGACGCTCGCCTTAGCTTTTACTTATTTTATAAATAATACCTACTATATATATAAGTCCTTAGAAAAGTACCTAAGTAAGTTTAGCGATACTATTAAGACCTTAGCTTAAGTTAAGCTTAAGTTACTTTTAATTACTTAAAAGACTTTTATAGCGGTTAATAATCTTACTAACTATTTTTATCTTATTACTAGTAATAACTATAATAATAAGGATAATAGTTTTAATCTTACTAAGCTTAGTCTAGCCCTAGCCCCTTTTAATAAGGGGAAGGGTAAAGGTAAAGGTAAGGGTAAGGTAGCTATTATATTTAAGGCTTTATTTAAAGCTAAGGCTAAGGAGTCTGCCGCTATCCCTATACCTGCGGTTATCTTAAAGCTAGTATAGGATCCTACCGCGTTACCCTTTATTAGCTCCGACGCTAAGCTATAGCTTAGTAGTTTTCCTATCGCTAAGCCTACTTTAAAGCGTCCTTATCTTATATTACTTAGCGACCTTATAAATATTCCTAACTTTATTAAGTAGTATCTTTATAGCTATCGCGGTTTAATCTTAGCTAAGATTATTACTAGTTTTAACCTTAATTAAATCTATAGTTATAGTATAAGCTATAGTAAACGCCTCTACGCTACTATTAGTATAAGTCCTACCTTAATATAGACCTTAGTTATTACTCTATCTTATAAGCTAGCTATCTAAGCTAGCTTTAGTTTAGGTTTAAGGTTAGGCCTAGCTAGCTATTATTAGGCTTCTTATAGTAGTAGTAGTCCTTATACTCCTCGTAAGTCTTAGGTTACTCTTTTTTATACCCCGCGTATTACTTTAAAGGGGTCTTATTATTCCTACTATAATAGCGAGGTAAATATTACTACTAATAAGTTAAGCTAAGGTTATAGTTTAAGGGCTAGTTATTAGCTCTATCTTAGTTTAGTTTTAGGTTAAGTCTTATTTAATTATAGTCTTTTAGTAGTAAGTTTTATTTTATATCTATTAAGGCTAGCTTAGTTAAGTCTTATTAGTTTTATTTAGTCTATAGTTTAAGTAGCGAGGTTTATACTTAGTTTAGGTCTAGTTTAATTAATACTATAGTCCTATTATTATAAGTC